ATCTAAACATAAATCACGTTACATTCACTGACTTTTCTCCTAACTTCAGTTTGCTAACCTCAGTTGAATCCTAACCTCAGTTGCAAATTTTTTAATCCAAACACACACTTACTTTGCCACTTGCTCCTCCCATAAGTGTGTTGCCGTACATTGTAGGAATTAGTGCCACGAAACATAGAATTTGATAAAATTATGTTATAGTTTTTGTCTAATGGAATTGTTTCCTTCTATGTTAAAAATTGCATGTGTATACAACATCTTATGAGTAAGGAAGGGAAAAAAGGTATTTTCTTTCTTTCATATAGGGGGAAACATTGTTAATAATGAAGGGAAGATGCGATATGTGGACGGTGGAGCAAATGAAAGAATAGTAAGTACTTTAATGTAAATTGACTGAAATGCATGTTTTGAGTGTGAACCAAAAAGATTGTAATTGAAGTGCATGCTACAAGAATTGGATGAAACCACTATGATAGACTTAGTATATGTTTTATTTTTAGTTTATCAAAAGTTTATTTATTAGAAGTTCATTTGATAAAAATTAATTGTTATAATAAAATTTGTGTTTGGGTGCATTTTTTTAAAAGTCAATTTGATAAACTAAAAGTTATTTAGATTATAATAGTGAAACGTGCTTTTAAATGTACAATTATAACAAAAACATTGATTTATGATAATTTTATAATTTTATTATACAAAAGTAATATATTTGAAATATTTAAAAAATGTGATAAAGATTTTAAATAATATAAAATTTGATCTATAATGCTAAAAACTTAATCTCTAATTATTTATACTTTTTTATTTATAATTTTAAAATATGTGATAAAGATTTATAATTTTATTATACATTAATGCTAAAAATTAACATAATTAATTATTAAATTTATAATGCTAAAAAGTTGATGTCTAATTATTATTATTTAAATAATAATTATATTTTTAATGAATTAACTATTTTTTAAATAAAAGAATAAGAAATTAAACTTAAGGTAATATAGTTAAATAAGATTTTACTTTTCAAATTCACTTTTCAAGAGTAACAAAATGGTGCTTTTAAGAAAACACATTTAGCTCATCCCAAAAATACTTTTAAAAAATATATTTAATCTTATTAAACTACACTCGAACAACTTTTCACATCTCAAAAGTGGGAAAGTGCTTTTGGGATGTGAAAAGTACAATACCCAAACGGTGCCTTAAAAGATGATGAAGGAATTCAACAATCAGTTAAATTTAGGCCATGTTTGGTAGGTTGGAATTATGAAGATGGAAATGGAATTGGGATAGGAATCTGAATAAAGTGATGTTTGGTAGATATGAATTACAATTCCTGGGAATCCTAATTCTATGGAAAAAAGCTAATTTTGATTCCTTATGTAAATCTATGGAATTGGGAGCAATTCTATGGAATTGTAATATTTAAGACACTTTTGCCCTCATACAAATTCCAGAAAGACAAATTTGCCCTCAAAAAAAAATAAAACCCTCATATGCTAGCAAAAAAAAAGAAAAAGGGAGTATAAAAGGGTGAATGATATTTTTTCTCATTATATATAAAGCGTTATAATATATATATAAGATAGTATTATATATAATATTTGTATATAATTTATATATTTATAATATTTTTTTGGTATAATATTTATAATATTTTTTTGGTATAATTTATATATATTTTTTTATATATAATATTTCATTAATATATAAAATACATAAGAAAATTGGTACACAATTAAGTTTTTATTATGTTTTATTTTAATTTTTATATAGGGGTATTTTTGTCTTTTAAGTATAATTCCATTTTCATGTCTTGCATACCAAACAAAAGTAATGCAAGGATTCCATCTAATTTTTCTGACATACCAAACATACTTTTATAATTCAATTCTATTCCAATTCTGATTCCAATTCTGATTCCAATTCCAATTCCAATTCCATCAAAAACTATTCCATCATACTAAACGAGGCCTTAATGAAAAATCTATGCATGTTTATATAGTTGAAGGTGTAAATAATTGTGTAAATAAAGTTGAACCTATGCTGAATTCACAAGAGTTAGAATGTATAGAAACCTCTTTTGGATTATCTATTATTAAATCTTCATCAAGTAAGGAAAGTCAAGAGCTTTCATGTTTAATTCAACGTGCTCTTGCTTCTTTTCCTAAGCATGGTGCAGTTAAGTGGAAGGACTTGCTTTTAGGACTGCGGTAAACATTTAACAATGTAGGTGTATTTAAAAAATCGTTTTACAAGTATAATTTGGCACACAAGTTTGTGTACAAGTATGCAAAGAATCATGTAAGAGGTATGATAGTAAAGTGCATAAACGATAGGTGTCCATAGTTTAAAGTTCTTATATGTGCATTCCTTTAAGAATGAGCACATTTACTCAACCCAGGATAATCTCATAATTCATCAAAAATTCACTTTTACATTGGCTTCATCTATCATTAAAGATGGTTTGAGGCATTTACTGGATAAAGCACCAAATGAGATAAGGCGAGACTTGTATAAGGGTTATGGTATTTATTGTCTTATGATTAAGCATGGAAAGGAAAATGGAAAATACGCAAGGATCTCCTATCCAATTTAACATGGTGATTCATTAGTTTTGCTAAAGACTAGTTGAAGTGGACCCAATAACCGTCGCTAAATGGGCAACATCATTTAACCATAAATTTAAAAGGTTGTTCATATCATATGAAGGTTGTATAGAAGGATTTCTAAATGATTGTTGACTTATACTATATATTGATGGAAGTCAACTTAATGGTCCATATCAAAGTACTATGTTATCTGCATCTGCACATGATGTAGATAATGAGCTTTTGCATATTGCATGTGCTATTGTGAGTGGGGAGACCAATAAGGAATAGGTTTAGTTCATATAGAACATTAAAGATATTGTAGGTGATGTGAAAGTTATAATAGTATTGGATAGGCATAATACCATAATATATATTGTAAAAGCTATCTTTAGGAGGTGAAAGGCATGCACTTTGTTATAGGTACATGAAAGAAAACTTCAATATAGAATATGAAAAAAAAAATTGAGCTTGTAGATGTAATATTATTATGAGAAAGGAGGATGCATTGAACTTGTTGAATGCAATTGCATATGCTAGACTTCATGGTAAGTTTGATAGAACAATGGCCAACATGCATTCTTTTAGCTCTTAGCTAGGCAAGTAGATTGAAGATCAAGATGATACTGATCATTAGGCATTGTCACAGTTTTCATTTTGGAGATGAGACAATATAACCTTAAATCTTACTAAGTTCTATAATGCATGGCTTGTGATTAAGAGAAAACATTAAGTAGCTACATTGTTAAATGAGCGTAGAGAGAAGCTTGCTAAAAAAATGTTTGTTGGCAATGAAGCTATTAAATTGCAGAGTAATGGAGTTAGTCCTAATACAGAATTTAAGTTAAAGGAGTATGTATTGCGTGCAAAGAGGATGGTGATTATATAGCATTCAAAGCATATATTCAAGATTGTAATTGGAGAAGTTCACATCAATGTCAATCTTGCAACCATAAAGTGCACTTGCAAGGTATGACAAATGTCTGATACACCATGCCCACATGCATGTGCAGCTATCAAATATGTTAGAGTTAATGCATACACATATGTTAAAGAGTGTTACAAAGCTAGTTTACAAGAGAAGATATATAATATGACTATAATGCCAATCGATACTCATGACATGCTAAAGTTGTTTGAGTTGGAGTGGAATGATTTTCAAAATGAGACATTCCTATGGCCACCAATCACAAGTGTAATATCTCTCTTACTGAACACAATTAATTGCCCTTATTCAAATAGGATCCTAGGTTTTTATAAATAAATTTCACTAAAACATTACTTAATAAATCTCAAATCAAAGTTAAAATATGCAAATGACATCAAGGATATGCAACTAATCTTTCCTTTACACGCAACCATCTTTAATACTTCCGACACGTGTAGAAGAAATCTACACACATGAAAACTGATTACATATAATTGAAGACTTAGTGCATTCAACTACAAATGTCTTGCATATGGGTTAAGATTAATGTTTTAGAACTTCGGTGTCATCAATTTTTCATAATAACCAACATGCATATTCAAATAAATTAAGCATACAGAGTTCAAGAACACCTATTTATTCAAATATATTCTATCGTCATCATAAAAAACTCAACACTCTTTATTTGCACATGTGAAAATTGATTGCATATAGCTAAAGACTTATTACATTCAATTGCAGATACCGTGCATATGGGTTAAAAATGCTTCAAAGCCTCTATTTCATCAATTTTAGATCTTACTACATTAAGTTTTCATGATAATTATTTAGGACGCACCTCTGACCTAAAGCTATAGAAATTCCAATACTGCCACGGGTTTCGCCTGGGCATCACCATCGCCCTAATTACTCCTCAAGTCACCAAGAAGTTAACAAGCTATCAATGCTGTCAATTCTTCATCTTCTTCGTCCGTCCATTCCACTGCCTGCAAAATTCCTCTGGTCGAATGTTCTTTTTTCATTTTAAAATCTGATTTTCTAGGGACACTCTGATCTTTTAATGTCACTACAGTATTGACACGGAAGGACCTCATTTTCCAAAACACTTGAACTCCTTTTTAGCAATTAGTTTGGCCGTGAGTCGTGATGGGCAATTTTCCCTTATAATAAAGACGGGAATGAGGAGAATCTAAGAGATTGTTAGGCCAGGTATAATCATTTTCTTTTTACATGTGGTGAGTGGTCCCCCTTGATTTAATGGAGGGCACTGAAATGCCACTGCGGCCCTTTGTTTCGAGCAAGTCACTGTTGCCTTTTCCAAGAATTCCTTTAATTTGTTGATTAAGAATCTCGAAACCAAAATCATCAGCTCTGGAAACAAATAGAGAGAGGCGGGGACCACTCACGAATCATTAGTGTAGAATGTTCAGGACCTATGGATAAACAAGCACGGAAAAGGGTGGGGGATTAACAGATAAAGTGAATTAATTAAGAAAGAGATTAGATTTGAGTGAATGAGATAATGAGCGAGGGAAATGGATGTCTGCCTGTCCTGTAAAAACACAGCAACGCATAATCCTAATCCCCCATTCATGATTAAATCAATTAATCAGCCTTTGGCCGAGGCAACAGACAAGGCCATCGTCAATCGTTAGTAATCCTAAACTTGTGAACTCTCGCCTCCATTCCATACATGTTTGTTAACAATAATAACAGGAATGGGGGGTGGGGCCAGAGGAGAAGACACGGAGCATGGGCGATGACCACTTGGACCCTTCCTGACCCGGTAAGGGATTTGGCTATATCTCGCGGGACCCGCAAGGGGGGCATCTATGACTATGTACATATCTTTTATTCCCTCCTCAATTTCTGTGGTGCATGAACCGCTATTTTCAGGGGCAGCAGGATGATTTTGTTACCTGCGTTGAGAAAAATTTTGAAAATTCAAAAATTGACCCAACAAAGTGAGTTGTTGATCGGGCGGGCGTGGAATTCACGTGACGCCCTGTTTCTGTGTGTTCCCCCTGACTTGACGTCGCCCAATAGCTCATTCTTGCGCGTCGTGCCGTGCATGAGCCCACCGTGCCTTCCTGGTCTGCGATGCGTCATCACGGCTCTCCCGCCTCTCTGCCACGTGTCTCCCTGCTCCCACCACGGAATCATCTCCCGCTGCCACCACCACTTAACCTGCGCGCCTCCACTTTCAAGCATCCAAAGACAAAGAGTCAATCCAATATTTTTAATCCCTGTTTTAATTTCAATCTACTTTTTTAGTTGGAGCTTCTTGCGTTGCCTTGCCAGCATGTATAATTGAAACCACATTGATACCTGTAGTTGTACAAATTACGTAATCTAGACTGCACTCTTGCAAGAGATTCAGATGATCGGGAGATGCAACATAAAAATTGAGAGGAATAGAAGATAATGTTAATAAATGTGGTGTGTGCTGAATGATGAAAGGTGGTGGACCTGATAATTTATATACAAAGTATTGGTCGGGGAGCCTCATAAATTGGACCAAATATGAGTCATGTTTTCTCACCTGCTCACCTTTCGTGTCTGCTTCTTCCCAGTCCGCACATGATCCCAACACCCATCAAACCTGCATCTATTTTTTGTGCCTATAAATACATGACTATAATTAATCTCACATCAATGCATGCGCATGAATGAACAAGCATCTTCTAGCTAGCCGCTGCAAACAACCACCACCACTTTTATTTCACCCATGACCCATCTGAACCCATTTATAATTACTTATTCTATCATGCTTCACTCTGGAATACCAGAATTAGCTATCCGATATTATCAGACAGAATATTCCAGTACTTTAAATATATAAGTCGCTAAGATCACGGGGAAGCATGCATGCATCATAGAGATCAGAAGAGGAGATCGAGCAGTGCGTATAGCGGCTAGCACACCCATTATATTTGTGTTGATGAAAATGGTCAAAACGTGTGAATTTTTTAAGTATATGTGTGAAGCGCTCGATCGCCTTTCACTATTATATCACACAGCCCATGATGAGTAAACCTGAAATGAAGAGCAAAATTAAAATTAACTCGCATATGAAACAGTTTGGGAAAGAGTACAACTGGAAAGCACCGGGATGGGAATAGGTGTTGTGTCTCTGTATCAACCGTTACAAAGTCCATGGATGTTTTCTGATTTGATCTATAGCTTAAAAAAAATATCTGCCACAGAATCTGAGCTATTGTTGTGGTGTCATTCTCAATCAGTCAGACTAGTGGTGCTTAATTCAAGTGGCGACACCTCGTAGATGAAAGAGATGATGAACCGCGCACATTCATCAACAACAACACACACACACACACACACATAACAAAACCATGGCTTCTGTACAGACTTAAGCATGATATTGTTTATGTATTTCGAAAAATGAAATTCATTCTTCTATATGACCGGTAAAAAGATTTCATATCACATACCTGTATTGACAGGCTGTTACGTTCTATGTGCTGTTCCCTAGACATATGTGAGACGTCATTCACGATAACCTGTGTGCGTTGATTGGCTGGCTTTTTCTTGAGCTTTTGGACTATATACTTCCGATGAAAAGAATCAAGTTGAGTGCATGAAATGTGATCATGGATTTGCTTCTGTAGTACAGCACAACTTGATCGCACGATCATACGATATACAGCTAGGATACACGCGCGCGCTCACTCCAAACATCGGGCTATTAAGTCAAGATTTGCTGGTGAAACTGCTCCCCATATATTACAATTTGTTCATGATGAGAAGCGGCTAATTAAATCATTGTTGAAACTACGTTTTTCCAGAGAGATATATATATATATATATAGATATAAAGTAATAAGAAACTCGATCACCATATATTGACTGCGTGTGGTAATTGCAAGTTTCAGCATATTATAATATATCAATTGGTTGTAGTGACTTGCTCTCATTTTGGATCTTGTTTGCTGGTGGCGCCAACTCCGTGGCATCGGTGGAATTGGCTTTAAAGGAAAGAGGAAAGATTAACGATTCAATTTTATGAAAAGAATCAACAAGTTTTTATCAACTATCTCAAATTAATCCGTTCTTTAAGGTGATCAAAGAGGAAAGATAAATGAAGACAAGATCAGTAAACTTCATCTTGGTTAACGAGTTCTCTAAGTTTTTTTAAGACCTTGCCAAATTTGATGGTAGCGACAATTGCTTACCAATTCCAGCTATATGATTAAACAAAAAAAGCATCAAAGAATAAAAAACAGAGAGGTTCCTTTGGGAACAAGCCATTGCAAATATATATAGAGCAGCTAAGTATATAACCACAGACTTCAATACCTATTAAAATATTAAAAAAATCTTACATTTAAAAATTAAAAGATAGATTATAAATATATAAGTTTAGAAAGTATCTAACCAAGTAGTTTAAATTATTTTGATAAAACAAAAGCAATTTGATTGGGGATTGAAAAACAGAGAGAGAGAGAAGAAGAAGAAATTAAATAAACCTAAAACCTCTCCTTAATATAAGAAATTTAATAATATCAAGGCAAGAGTCTACAGTAATTTACGAGTTGAGCCGGACAGTAAAAAGTAGTGTATAACATTTATGAGTAAAGTTACATTTTTGCCCTTAAAAAATATTTTATGAGGAATACCAAACAACTTAAACTATTTATTAAAGTAATTTTTCTATTAAAGTAATTAAAATAGAGTATTTTTATCTTTATCATCAAATTCCCAACTATTAAAAATATTAACCAGGACTTCAATATTAACAACTAAAAAATTTAATGAAAAAGAAAAAATATTTTATTTTAATTATTTTAAAGATAAAATTTTTCTAGCTAATAGTTTAAAGTATTAGATACTTCTTGAAAAATATTTTAAAAATAAAAATACACTTTTATCCTGTATTTAGTGATCGGAGCTGCTTTTAATCATTTAGATTTATTTTAGGCTTTCCCAATCTATAGAACTCGTGGACGATGGTTTTTGAAACGTCTGTAAGGATTAAATCATAAAAGTAGAATCTACAAACTTTTCAAAGTTGCACTCACGCATGTACGTTGCATGTCACGTGGAATGGAAATCATTTAAATTATAAAAGAGGTGTCAATTAGGCATTAGGGCTGCCCCACCTAAACCCTTAAATCAAGAACATTAAATTAAATTATTAATTTATCATTCAACCACCCCCTCCCCGGAACAATACATCAAGTCTTGATCATTTTTAAGCAAGGCGGAGAAATCTTGAATCAGCCTAGCCCAACCCTTACAAAACAAAACGCCTATTTGTGGGCCGTCCCTCTAAGCCTGTTCCACTTCTTCTTTCAAAGGCAAAAAAAACATCACACGAATGGACTCAATTGAAAAGAAATGAAAGTTTTCTTAGATCTTGGGGTAGAATAAAAAAAACAATTAAATCATGAATGAAAAGCGACACTTTAAGTGATAATCATTACATGTATAACTGACATTACACAAATTCTTTCCATTCCAGTTCTTTTTCCATAGTTGAATCAAACGGGACATTTTGAGAATATACATTTAACTAGCCTCCAATCGAAGCATAGCATACGGCGCTGCCATGTCTCCTAGTGGTACGCTACTGTGTCTGAAAAGTTTTTTTCCCCCCTTTGCTATGTTAGCATTGTGTATTAGACCATCCAAACTTATTCTGAAAGGTTTATGTGATGCTGCTGAAACGCAATAGAGAAGCTAATTTACGTCTCCCCCCTCATAAATGAATGTGTACCAGAACCACAATACCCACCATACACACTTTAGGGATAATGTTATTTAAGGTCCTCTAAGAAGAATGTATCACAACAAGGCTCGTCAGTTTTGCATATAATATTTTCTTATAAAAACATGCATATTCCTTTTGTTTTTATATATAAAGTATTTTCTATAAGTTTATTTTATCCCTAAATATAAGGAGTGGCAATGATATTTTTGAGTAATTAAATAATTTTACTTTTATCTTAAAAAATAGAATGGATCATTAATTGTATATTTTTTCTACCACCATCATGATATTAATTATAATATCATTAGGAGTAAAACTAAAAAATCATTGTGTTTTTATATAAGTTTAACTAAATAACAAACCTTTATTAGTATGCGAAATTCAGTCAAAAACATTTTATATATAGAGACGGAGGAAATATGTTAGTGCTAAAAGTTAAATCTTAGCTTGTGAAATTGTTTTGTAAAAATATGCATATCTTGTTAAAAGTTAAACCTTAACAACATATATATGTATTCACAAAACAACATCTGATGCAAAACTAATGAGCCTTTATTCCTGTAATAAATTTTGTTGAGAAGGCCTTAAATATCATTTTTCCTGCAGTATACCTCAAGTCATTTTCAGAACAGTGGTGAATAAAGGGTGTTAGTGGGCAGCCTTCGAAATTAAGCATTTGGTTTCAGTCACCAATAATCTTTACAAGAGCACAAACCGTTGGTGAATCGGTGGAACCTATTGATATCTCTCACAATGATCTCCCTCTCAAAAATCTCTGAGGCAAACTTCATCACTGTATGACAATCACCACAAGTTCTCAGATTTTTCTTTATCCTTATTGAAGACGCGCTCGGGAGGACCAGAAGACCAAATGCTAGAGCTAGCTTTTCACTGTGACTCCACAAACTCTGTTCTTCAGAACCTTCCACGCTGTTGGTCGCAAACTGGATCGCAGCCACATATCCTCTCTTCTTTGCCAACTCTTTTAACTTTTTCAGCATTTCATAAATCTCATCCGTCCTTGAATGTGACTTATCATTGACAGTAAATACAAAGGTCTGGTTCCTAAACTCAATCCAACTACATCCAGTTTCCTTCCTCACTCTATTAATCCCCATTAATTGCCTAACTTCGTCAGCTTTTTCCACCATCCCTCGTCGTGCATAGATATTAGAAAGCAGCACATAATTTCCTGGGTTATTTGGTTCCAACTCAAAAAGCCTCTCTGCGACCTCGCTGCCCATTTCTACATTGCCATACTTTCCGCATGCTCCAAGCAAAGCTCCCCAAATTGATGAGTCAGGCTTCATTGGCATTGATTCTATAAATTTCTTTGCTTCATTCAGTCGACCATTACGGGCAATCAAGTCAACCATGCAAGCATAATGCTCAGGTCCGGGTTTAATATTATGGATGTTAGCCATGGAATTGAAGTACTTGAATCCGACTTCGACTTGTCCAGTATGGCTGCAAGCTGACAGCACTGAAACAAAAGTAATATATTCTGGCACAATTCCATGCTTTAGCATCTTCTCAAATAATTCAATCGCTTCATTTGCACTGCCGTGTTGCTGGTAAACTGCTATCATAGCTGTCCATGAAACCACATTATGATCCTCAGTTTCTTCAAAGACCCGACAAGCATCAAACAAGTTCCCGCATTTGCCATACATAGTTATCATTGAACTGAGAATACATGCATTCTTCGTGAACCCGGTTTTTAAGATTTGGGCGTGGATCGAAGTACCCTCAGTCAATGTTGCAAGATTAGCAGAAGCATGAAGAGCGGAAGAGTATGAAACCTCATCGGGTGACAGGCCTTCCCTTCTCATGGCCTGGAAATAACTGCAGGCTGCTTCACAGTTGTCATTATGGACACATCCCATGATCATCACATTCCAGGTAACAACATCTCTATCTCCGATATTATAGAACAGCTTCATTGCATCATCAAACAACCTACATTTTGAGTACATGTCTACCAGCGAGTTTTTCACATAAAGCACTGTTATCAAACCACGCTTAATAATGTTTCCGTGCACTTGTTTCCCGAAATCGAATCTAGCCGTGTGAGCGCAACCACTCAACACGCTCGAAAAACTTATTTGATCCGGATCAACCTCAGTCTCCCTGAGACCCTCTCTAAAAAACCCGATTGCACGGTCATACAACTTGTTTTTGAGAAACCCCACAATCATAGAATTCCAAGAAACCATACTCCTGCTTGGCATTTCATCGAACACCTTCTCTGCCATGCTTACATCCGAGCATTTAGCATACATATCAAGCAACGCACTTGCTACGAATGTATCGCTTTCAAACCCGTGTTTCCAAATCAAACCATGCATCTGTTCACCGTAAGTAACAACCACTGTATCGGCACAGGCAGGCAAAACTGCAGAGAAGGTGAATTGGTTTGGATATATACCAGTGCATCTCATTCGATTAAAATAATTCAAGGCCAGGAATGGCATTTTAAAATGTGATAGCTGAGTAATAAGGGTGGTCCAAGTGACAACGTTCCTTGAATCATCACCGGCGGTTGAAAACAAGAGAAGGCCACGATCGATGAAACCACATTTGGCGTACAAGAGAAAGAGATTGTTGAAGATAAATGGGTGGGACGCGTAATTGCTGGTGATGATTTGGCTGTGAATCTGGGTTGCGTGTTTGAGGTTTTTATACTGTGCAGCATTGTCAAGGAGGCTGTTGAGCCGAGTGGGGTTCAGAGGCGAAGAGG